AAGGGGAGGCATGTTTTTGGGGAATATACACTAATGAACCTAAACACTAAATTTCAGCAAAGCCTCTCTTTGTTTTTCTTTCTTTCTTTCTTTTTTTTTTTTTTTTTTTTTTTTTTAGGAGTATCATCCTGTCACCCAGGCTGGAGTGTGCAGTGGTGTGATCTCGGCTCACTGCAACCTCTGCCTCCTGTTCAAGTGATTTTCTTGCCACAGCCTCTTGAGTAGCTGAAACTACAAGTGCATGCCACAACACCTGACTAGCTTTTGTATTTTTAGTAGAGACAGGGCTTTGCCATGTTGGCCAGGCTGGTCTCAAACTCCTGACCTCAGGTGATCTGCCTGCCTCGGCCTCCCAAAGTGCTGGGATTACAGGTATGAGCCACCATGCCCAGCCTTTTTTTTTTTTTAATTTTATTTTTCTGAGACAGGGTCTCACTGTGTCACTGAGGCTGGGGTGCAGTGGTGCAATCTCAGCTCACTGCAACCTTTGCCTCCCAGGCTCAAGCGATCCTCCCACCTCAGCCTCCCAAGTAGCTAGGACAACAGGTGCATGCCACCACACCCAGCTGATTTTTGTATTTTTTGTAGAGATGGGGTTTTGCTATGTTGCCTAGGGTGGTCTTGAACTTCTGGGCTCAAATTATCCTCCCATCTTGGCTTCCCAAAGTGTTGGGATTACAGGTGTGAGCCACTGCACCTGACCCCCCTTTTTTTCCTGACCCATTGGTGGACAACGAAGCCTCTCTTTACTGAAAAAAAAAAAATCCTTTCTGGGCATGGTAGCTCACATCTGTAATCTCAGCACTGTGGGAGGCCAAGGTGGGGGATCGCTTGAGCTCAGGAGTTGGAGACCAGCCTGAGCAAATGGCGAAACCCCATCTTTACAACAAAAGTTAGCCCACTCTGGAGGCTGAGATGGGAGGATTGCTTGAACCCAGGAGGTCAAGACTGCAGTAAGTTGAGATTGTGCCATTGCACTCCAGCCTGGGTGACAGAGCAAGACAAAAAAAAAAAAAGAAGTGTGGCTGTCAAACTTGAGCTTTCAGACAAATCACTTGTTATCTTATTAAAATGCACATCCCTGAGTCTTACCCCTAGAGTTGGTAGTTCAGTGGCCCATGGGGTGGACTCTAGGAATCTACATTTCTTTATTTTATTTTACTAAATTTTTTTTTTTTTTTTTTTTTTTTGAGACTTTTTTTTTTTTTTTTTTTTTTTGAGACAGAGTCTTACTCTGTCAGCCGGGCTGGAGTGCAGTGGCACCATCTCGGCTCACTGCAACTTCTACCTCCTGGGTTCAAGCAATTCTCTTGCGTCAGCCTCCTGAGTAGCTGGGATTACAGAGGCACGTGACACCATGCCTGGCTAATTTTTTTTTTTTTAGTAGAGATGGGGTTTCACCATGTTGGTCAGGCTAGTCTCGAATTCTTGACCTGCCTGCCTTGGCCTCCCAAAGTGCTGAAATTACAGGTGTGAGCCCCCAAGCCTGGCCCAGGAATCTACATTTTGAAAAACGTTTTAAAAGTTTGTTTTGTCTTTTTTTTTCCTTTAAAACAGGGTTTTGCTCTGTTGCCCAGGCTAGAATGCAGTGGCATGATCATGGCTCATTTCAGTCTCAGCCTTATAGGCTCAAGGGATCCTTCCACTTCAGCATTTTGGGTCGCTGGGACTTGTAGGCATAGGGTGTCACTCCAGGCTAATGTTTACCTTTTTTTCTTCCCCAGGCTGGTCTTGAACTCCTAGGCCCAAACAATCCTCCCATTGTGGCCTCCTGAAGTGCTGGGATTACAGGCATGAGTCACTGCCCCTAGCCAGGCACCTGCATTTTTTTTCTTTTCTTTTCTTTCTTTCTTTTTTTTGAGTTGGAGTCTCTTTCTGTGGCCCAGACTCTGGAGTGCAGTGGCATGATCTCGGCTCACTGCAACCTCTGCCTCCTGGGTTCAGTGATTCTCCTGCCCCTGCCTCCCGAGTAGCTGGGACTACAGGTGCACACCACCATGCCTGGCTAATTTTTGTATTTTTAGTAGAGACAGAGTTTCACCATATTGGCTAGGCTGGTCTCAAACTCCTGACTTCATGATCCATCCGCCTTGGCCTCCCAAAGTGTTGGGATTACAGGATTACAGGTGTGAGCCACCACACCTGGCTTTTTTCTTTTCTTTTCTTTTCTTTTTTTTTTTTTGAGATGGAGTCTCCTGCTGCTGCCCAGGCTGGAGTGCAGTGGTGCGATCTCAGCTCACTGCGACCTCCGCCTCTTGGGTTCAAGTGATTCTCCTGTCTTAGCCTCCCAAGTAGCTGGGACTACAGGTGTGTACTACCACACCGAGCTAATGTTAATAGAGATGGGGTTTGATCATGTTGGCCAGGCTGGTCTGGAACTCCTGACCTCAAGAGATCCGCCTGCCTGGGCCTCCCAGAGTGCTGGAATTACAGGCGTGAGCTACCTCTCTTGGCCCAGGAATCTGCATTTTTGAAATGGCATCTAGGCTAATATTTTTTCAGGTGTTCCTCTGATTATACTTTAGAAATACTAGATTAGGAAATGAAGGTTCCAAAGGGAAGAGCAATGGAATTATAAAAAAGGACTATTATGATGTTATTATATATATTGGTTTTTGTCCGCTGTTCCTGGTTCATAACTCCCACAGCCCTTGTTACAGTTTTTGTGGTAATGTTGGGTGTGTTAGGCCTCAGGGCCAGGCCTCAGGAATCAGAATCTCTTTCCTGCCCTCCTCTCACCTGCCCCAAGGCAGGGTTGTGGTCTTTCCCCACCTTTCTGATTGTGGGTCTTAAGGCCCTCCCTAGAGTAGGTTCTGCCCTATACACTGAGGGAAGGAATGCTGACATCATGAAGCTTCCATAAAAACCCAAGAGCCCAAGAGGGCTGGTAGCTGAGCACTTGGAGATTTGCAGAGTGTGGTGTGCCTAGCGAAGTCCTGGAAGCTTCACGCCCTTTCCCTGTAACTGACCCTGCACATCTGTTCATCAGTATCTTTTGCAGTCTCCTTTATAATAAACCAGCAAATGTAAGTGTGTACCTGAGTTCTGTGAGTTGCTGCAGCAGCTTAATTGAACCCAAAGAAGGGGTTGTGGGAACCCCAACTTGAAGCTGGTTGGTCAGAAGTTCTAGAGACCTGGACTTGTGACTAATGTTGTAGGGGGAAGTGGGGGATGCAGTCTTGGGGACGGGGCCCTCAACCCTTGGGATCTGACACCATCTCCAGGTAGTAGATGGTAAATATATATGTATATAAATTTAAAAAAATGTGACTATATTATGAGGCATGAGTCAAAGTAGACTTTAAAGAAAATGAGTTGGCGTGGTGGCTCATGCCTGTAATCCCAGCACTTTGGGAGGCTGAGGCAGGTGAATTGCCTGAGGTTGGGAGTTTGAGACCAGCCTAGGCAACATGGCGAAACCCCATCTCTGCTAAAAATACAAAAATTAACTGGGCATGGTGGTGGCCACCTGTCATCCCAGCTACTCGGGAGGCTGAGGCAGGAGAAACACTCGAACCTGGAAGGCGGAGGTTGCAGTGAGCTGAGATCGTGCCACTGCACTCCAGCCTGGGCGACAGAGCAAGACCCTGTTTCAAAGACAAATAAAATGAAGATAAGCTTGTTTGTAATGATAGTTTCCATACAAAGGGGAAACAGGCACAGAGCAGGAAGGTGACAGGCACAGACTCATTCCAGAGCAGAGGGATGAGGGTACAAGGTGTGCAAGGCTGGCGCCTGCAGGTGGCTTGGTGGCGTGCTGCTGCTCTCGTGTGGCACCTCTCTCCTGGCAGCTGCAACTGTAGTCGTGGACTTTAGTCTGATATAAATTGCTCGGGAATTGAAGAGGAAGTACTCTGTTGGGTGCACTGACCCCAAAGAATGACTGAGCAGGTACAAGTAGGGTGGGGAAAGGTCACATTGACTAGGAGTATGAATTTGAACAGATCAAATCAGCAGGTAGGTATTAAGCCTCTAACTGTAAAACACTCTCTAGGACTGTGAGTGGGCAGACTAGTGACAGTCATGGTGTTTGCCCTCAAGGAGCCTCCATTCAAGACAAGGGGTAGTCTTCTCTAACCAAAGTAAATGTTTTGAAAATCAACCGTACACAGAGGGCTCACCTGGCTGCTGAGCAGCTGCCATTTTGGCTGTGGCCTGACCACTTTTGACCTGGGCATAGAGGGCTAGTGGTGCCTCTGTGTGCACTGTGGTATCATAATAGACTCAGTAGCGATGGTTTACCAGCTCTTCTGCTTTGCTTCTAAAATAACAATCTTCCTCTCTCCTGATCCCTTTGCCCTCTCTGCTTGTTTTTTTTTGAGACAGGGTCTGGCTCTGTCACCCAGGCTATAGTGTGGTGGCATGATCTCAGCTCACTGTAGTCTCCTCCTCCTGGGCTCAAACCATCCTCCCACCTCAGCCTCCTGAGTAGCTGGGACCACAGGCACGTGCCGTGACGCCTGGCTAATTTTTGTATTTTTTGTAGAGACGGGGTTTCATCTTGTTGCCCAGGCTGGTCTGGAACTCCTGGACTCGAGCGATCTGCGCATCTCAGCCTCCTAAAATGTTAGTATTACAGACGTGAGCCACTATGCTCAGCCTCTCTCTGCTTTTCTTGTCAGCATTTATACCAGCTCTGATATTCTATAGTGATCCATCTGTGTAAGCTCCAAGTGGACAAGAACTTTATTTTGTTTACTGTCTCTCCCTGTATCTAGAACAGTGCCTGGCACTGTTGAAGGAAGGACTTTGAGGACTGACTTGCCCCAGGTACTATGCTAAGGATTTTATGTGCATTATTTCATTTTATCCCAACTACTTTTGAGTTAGTTATTATCCTGTTTTACACACGAAGAAACTAAGGCTCAGTGAGATTAACGAAATGACCCAAGGTCATATAATCTAAGTGGTAGAGCTGGGATTTGAACTTCAGTTTGGCTAACTATGAAACTCTTAACTGCTGTTCTTTCTCGACTTTCCTTTTTTCTGCAGGAAAAAAGGAGACATGGCCAGAAAGGCTCTCAAGCTTGCTTCATGGACCAGCATGGCTCTTGCTGCCTCTGGCATCTACCTCTACAGTAACAAGTACTTGGACCCTAATGACTTTGGCGCTGTCAGGGTGGGCAGAGCAGTTGCTACGGTAGGTTTTTCCCATTGGGGGTAGCAGAGAAGCTGCAGGATTACTTGCAGGTGTTCATACATGCAGCAGATAGACATGCCTGTTATACATACGTGGAGATACTTGTGTATCCTTACATGTGCAAAAGCTCCCTCTGCACAGGTGTACACATATGGGTGTGTGTCCTCATATTCCTTTATTCCTGTATACACAACCTGATATTCCTTTATTCCTGTACCACAGGGTTTCCTGTCATCCCAAGGTAACATAGAATGGGACTGCACTGGGTCGGTGTTCTGAAGCCTTTATATTTTAGGTTCTGTATCTTATTTTAGCAACACACCAAGAGGGGCCGTGCTCTTCAGCAAATGCATGTGCAAGGAGGACTTTGCAGTTTTGATTAAATTCTGCTAGAAAACTTGCTCTCTCTGCAGTGAACTAGGATGAATGGTTCCTGATGCAGGACTCATACCCAGATGGTCTAGGCCTCAGAGAACTTTGTGGGATTCCCTCCAATCTCCAAACTGACAGGGAACCTGAGCTGAATATTTTATGGTTAGAGGTTTTCTCCAGTGGCTCAACGGGATCATCATCCTGGTGTGATCATGTCCTCCTAACTCTGCTGACAGCAACTCTCCCAGACATTCCTGTAGAATTGTCCCATTGGTGGGTAGATGGCCACATGCCTCATGCTAGCTTTCCTCCTTTATCTGCTGCAGGATGAGCTCATGCTTTCTTCTTCTTGATGTAGATTCAGTCTGATGCACAGTCTGTTGTGGTTGTCATCTCACCGTCTCCTTAATACTCAGTATTGTCAGGTGTCCTTCGAGTCCTGGCTCAGAGGGGAGGGCACTGCCGTGCCTGTCCTTAAGGCTGAGCCGAGTCATAGAACCAATACCGACAAATAGACTTTGGATAATCAGGCTACGGAATATGAAACAATTCCCAAGTGTTTACCGAGTGCCCTTTTTTGGTCGAGCATTGTCTTACATGCTTTGAGGGACAGAAACAAACTGTCCTGCTTAGACCCAGCTACGAAGTAGCTTCTGGGTGAGGAATGCCTACATGAATAGGTTAAAAAACAATCTAAATCCATGCATTGTGCCAAGATGGGTGATTCAGATGCCTGCTACTATGGTCAGACACCGGAGTGAGTGCTGTGACCTGGGAGTCAGGATTGGTATCCTAGGGGTAGCAGGTTTTATTTTATGTAATATATATGTATATGTGTATATATATAAAAAACAAAATTTATGCATATATGATTTATATATATTTATATATGTACATAAATGAGGTATATATATTAAAAAAAATATATATATATAAATTTTTATTTTTTTGGGACAGGGTCTCGCTCTGTCGTCCAGGCTGGGATGCAGTGGTGTGATATTGGGTTACTGCAACCTCCACCTCCTGGAATCAAGAGATCCTCCCGCCTCAGCTTCTCGAGTGGCTGGGACCTCAGATGCCTGACACCACACCTGGCCAATTTCTGTATTTTTTTGTAGAGATAGGGTTTTACTATGTTGCCTGGGATGGTCTTGAACTCCTGGGCTCAAGCAGTCTGTCCATCTCGGTCTCCCAAAGTGCTGGGATTACGGATGTGAGCCACTGTGCCAGGCCAATTTTATGCGCGCGCGTGTGTGTGTGTGTGTGTGTACATGCATATATGGTTGAGTAATGCCTGCAAGAACAGATTAAAAAACAATCCAAATCCATGCATCCGAATCCATATGTATATATATTTTTTGAGATAGAGTCTCACTTTGTTGCCCAGGCTGGAGTGCAGTGGCACGATCTCATCTCGGTTCACTGCAGCCTTCACCTTCTGGGTTCAAGTGAGCACATCTGGCTAATTTCTATATTTTTAGTAGAGAGGGGGTTTCACCATGTTGGCCAGACTGGTCTCGAACTCCTTACCTCAAGTGATTTGCCTGCCTTGGCCTCCCAAAGTGCTGGGATTACAGGTGTGAGCCACCATGCCCGGCCTGTATATATATATTTTTAGATTAGTCAAGTGCAATAGTGAGAAGGGAGGAATGAGTAGAGCAAGGAGTATGATCTGTGACTGACTGTGAACAATCAACTGAGATAACTCAATACCTTCAGGTTAGCCAGAAGCAGGTTTTAAATGGAATCTTAGAGATTTGAATAGTTGGAAAGGAGGGAGGAAGATATGGATCAGTGCTTTGTAAACCAGGCACAAAGCTGTCAAATTTTTAAAGGCCAGAGCTCTGGTCTGGATTGTCCTTGAACACTGCTTAGTGCCCAAGTCTTGCTTGTGGTTGGTGTTCAACAAGTATATGTTGAATAGAATAAAGCTTTGTAGAGTGCAGAGGAAGAAACTCTTCTTAATATCAATTTTGTAAGTCCCTGAACTTCTAGGGTCCCAGTTACTCAATTCTATAAAGGAAGGTTTGGGGTAGATAATCCCCAAGGCCCTTCCATGCCTAGGATATCTTGGAGACGAATTTTCTGATTCTTTCTGGATAAGGGGACACGGAATCAAGACTTATGCTATTAGGGCCAGGTGCGGTGGCTCATGCCTGTTATCCCAGCACTTTGGGAGGCTGAGGTGGGAGGATCACCTGAGGTCAGGAGTTCGAGACCAGCCTGGCCGTCATGGCAAAATCCTATCTCTACTACAAATACAAAAATTAGCCGGGTGTGGTGGTGTGTGCATGTAATTTCAGCTACTTGGGAGACTCAGGCAGGAGAATTGCCTGAACCTGGAAGGCAGAGGTTGCAGTGAGCCAAGATCACCGAGATTATGCCAGTGCATTCCAGCCTGGGTGACAGAGCAAGACTCTGTCTCAAAGAAAAAAAAAAAAAAAAAAGACTTATGCTATTAGAGCAAACATACGTATATGTTTATTTGTGATGTGGAGAAGTCGGCCAAGTTTATGTAACAGCTTTATTCGACTAGCTTTGATTGAGCATTTACTCAATGTACCTGGCAGTGTAAAAGGTGCTGGGGTATAGTGATGGAGAGGAACGACAAGCCCCTGTGCTTCTAGAGCTTAGAGTTTAAGCTTATAGGAAGAGACAGTTCATAAACAAGGAAACGAATGAGCAAGGTAATGTTGGATGGTGGTTTGTTGTGACAAATAATTGAATGTTTCTGGTAAGAGGCGCAATTTTAGAGTGGGCCTCTGCATAGGTGGCATTTGCACGGAGTCCTGAATGACAGGAGGAAGCTAGCTAGAATAAGATCCAGGGGCTGGGCATCTTAGGGGCGGGACTGGCTGCTCCCCCAGACATAGCGGCTGTGTCAGGGACCTGCACTGCAAGGTTTAAGTAGAGTAGTAGTACTTAATGTCCAGGTGCTAAGCTTTTCCCCACCACCTTGGTTCACAGACGGCTGTCATCAGTTATGACTACCTCACTTCCCTGAAGAGTGTCCCCTATGGCTCAGAGGAGTACTTGCAGCTGAGATCTAAGGTAAGTAACCCATGGGACCCATCTGAACCAGGCCAGGACTGGATAACCCTTGAACTGCTACGCTCAAGTGATCCTCCCACCTCAGCCTCCCGAAGTGCTGGGATTACAGGCGTGATCCACTGCACCTGGCCTAGGATTGAATAAATCCTGAAGCAGCTGCCTAGCCAAGAAGCTTCCTGTGTACAGCTGGAGTTGGGCAGAGGGCAGTGTAGGGGATTGAGGCTGGGGGCATTGGCCACTGAATTTTTGGAAGGAAGGAGGGGAGGACTGCTTCCTCCTTCATGTAGAGGTTTCAGCGCTTCTGAGGGGTGCTGTCAGACTGTCATCAAGCTGAATGCCATGGTACTGAGTTACCAATCTGCAAGGTGCTGTGCGGGAGGCCCGTGTGTGCTTCTGGGGAGTTCGGGTGTCTGGGATGACTCAAGAGGGATGTAGGCTCTGTCCCGCAGATAACTCAGCTAGCTTCTAAACTGTTTTGTCAGGCAAAACCCAACTGAAAGAGGTTAATTGCTTTCCTATCCTCTGAGGGCTACTCTGGGGCCTCTTGTAGGCCTCTGAGTCGAGCTGTCAACCCCAAACTCTCTGTCGTCACTTCGAACAGGGTAGTTGATGTTGATATATGGTTAGATATCCCGGAGACTTGGGAGATCAAACGAGAGGGCACTTTTTGTGGATGTAGGTTGAGTTTGAGGTCAAGTGTAGATACCTTTGGCTCCTCTAGAGATTGTGATAGATTGGCATGGCTGTGCTCAGGCAGTCCCCTCAGCCAGGAATGCCCTTTGCCCCTTAGAAAATTCCTCGTCATCCTTCTGGACTCAGCTTAAGCTCCCCCTTGGTGGTGCTTTCCTTCTCAGTTTTCCTATGTGGATGGAATAATTAATGTCTAAATTTTTATTTAAACTTTTTATTATGGCAATTTCAACCATCCACAAGAGTAGAGAGAATAGTAGAATGAACTCTGGTGGAACTGTCATATAGCTTCAGAAACTAT